TCGTTTATCGATAAATTGTTACTGAAAACTGAATTATTATTCGTCGATCGATAAAAACTTTCTTTATATATATATATATATATTTATTTTTTTTTTATTATTGGATAAATTTCTGTATTAGTTTCCGTATTGAAACATGTATTTTATTATTTTTACGCGTCTGTCTTATCCAAGTTGATAGAACGAAAATGAACGAATCGAAATCGTTTTGTTCCCCGTGCTTTTAATAATCACGTCCCATGAAAATGATCAAGCACCTAGACGAGTTGCAAAACACGTCAGGCAGAAAGTAACGAAACGTGACTTTGTCATTACTAAACCATGTACTATTGCATGGGCAATAACATTCGCATCGATCATCTTCGACCTAGGCGAAAACAGCCTGATGAACCACCAACAATCATTTCCTGTGCGTCATGCGATATTTACCGTTTAAGCAGGTGACTTGATTTGAAGGGGTGATTGCGGGTCATCGGTGGGGTGGTGGAACGAGATTAGAAAATCGCTGGTTGAAAATCGACTTGTCCAATTCGTTCGATATAATCCCTGTCACTTTGATTCCAAACCGCACAAAGATAACCACCTTTAAAAATAATTCGAACAATAGTCAAGAAGAAATGTATCTAATAAGAAATTTTAATAATAATTCGAACGTAATCTCAAACGAATATAACCTCAAAAGAAGAGAAAAGAAAAAGGAGAAGAAAGAGTCAATAAAGCAAGCTGCGTCAAATAATTAATCATTAGACTGTTAACAGAGGATTGGCTCGTAATCTCGTGAACTTTTCCCAAAGATTTTCCACCGTTAAGGGGTTACGGATCTAAGGTGGCCATTGTTTCCAACTATCGACGCAGATAACTTCCACCTATAGCCCGGGTAATTAAGGAAGAGACCGGAACACAAAAGAGCCCGGGGGCTAGGAAAGCGTTCGTTAATCTCTTACCGTCCATTACGCGGTTTCTATCGTCGGATCGGCCTTGCATGAAATTTCAAAGGGAAGATACCGCGAATCGAAATATTTTAATGAATCTATCGATGAAAAGAAAGAGGCCGGAAACTCGTCCAATTCTTTCTTCACCGCTCGATCCTCCCCATCCAACGAAACGATATCCGAATGCAGTGGAATCGATATGAAACGAACAAAACTATCCACGTACCCTATAGTTGAACAACTTTCTTACCGTCTTTACTTGGAAAAAAAAAAATCTTGATTTTCCCTCCCTCAACAACGATAACACGAATAGATCGCGATAGATTGCAAAATTCGAAAAGAGGAGCGGATGTTTCGCTTAGAAAAATATTCTCATCGATCTTACAAGGGAATAATTTTCCTTATGAAAGTTTGTCGAAATAAAACAATCTTATTTCCATTTTCTCTAAATTCCTTTTGGCTTGGAACCACAGCAGGCGTGGCAAGCTCTTACTTGGCGACCATCACATGGTGCGCGTACCCCACATGGCGTTGTAACGAGGTAACGTGGCCCAACGGCATGTGCATCGGAATTCCACCCCCTCCCCCTAGATAGGTGTCATGTGGTCCGAGTGTTCGCAGGGGGTTGTGCATGGGAACTCGGGTATGGCCATCGGCCCATGTCCTACGTGCACACCCTGCCACGCATCCCTCCTCCTCCTCCCTCATAGACGTACAGTTAAATTATTGTTAAACATTCGTCTCGTTTATTATATCCGCAACCCTTTCGCAGACCACCACTAATGCACGCGTATATACAACAACGTGCAAACACACGACGTAAACGCGACGTTTCACGACGTCTCTAATCGTCAATGTGTATTTACACGCGTGTACACGATTAACAGACAGACAGTCGGACAGTCGAATCACGAGACGAAGGATATACGTATCAGAGAGAGAGAGAGAGAGAGAGAGAGAGAGAGGAATAACACACAGGAATAGAGAGCGAGGAAGAGAGACAGAGTTTCTGCTTCTGTGTCCTATATACACACGGAATGATACACGAACACAAAGGCGGAGGCACGGAGGTGGCTAGGTGTGCGCACATGTATACACACACGGCTCACACGCGCTCTGCATATTATCGGGTTGCTCCGATGCAACAAGTTGACCGGGTGTCAATTGATGTGTTATTAATTGGAGGTTAATTGCGTTAATGCGCTGCCGACCCCGCCCCTCCCTCTCCCTCTACCTCCCCCGCTACCTCCTTCCCTCCTCCCGGCCGGGCGTCACCCCCTC